TCTAGGCTGTGTTAGGATTCACACAAGTACATTGCACATACGTAAAACGGTAGAAACTCTGAAACTCTCACTGTTTCTTCAGAGGTCTTCTGTATGGTATCTCCGATGGTATATGAGTCGTTAGATGAAGACAAGAAAGAGGGAAAGAGGGTAGTAGATAAAGAGTGGCTAAAACAAAAAAAGAGGGAAGGGTGAGATGGCTCAGAAGGTAAAGGCACCTGCCTCAAGGCCTGATAACCTGAGTTCAGTCCCCAGAAGGTAGAGAAAACCAACTCCTGAAAGCTGTCTATGATCCCATTTATAACCACACACACATACACATAGAGTAAATAAATGTGAAAAATGCATAAAGCAAAACGGGCTATCAGAGTTTAGGGTGATAAGAAGCACGTGAAAACCGGGCAGCTTGGTTTTGTATTAAGAAGAAACAATATTCGTAATATTATGTGAGATTTTTTTTCCCCAACTCAGAGTGTCTGCACTCTCTAAGAAAAGACTTTTAAACCTCAGTTCTGTTGCCTTCTGTATCACTATGGCATGAGAAGGAGAGTGTTTGTGGAGATGCCACCTGAGACTATCTCAAATCTGAACCCCAACCAGAAGCAAATCTATTCCACAAGCCAGAGACCCTGGGAGGGGGTCATTGTTGTTAATAAGTAAGTTGGGTTGCTGGCTTATATTTTAGTCATATCCAAGAGGAGATTCTAGCGCCACTTGTGTGATTTATTTATTACTTGTACTTGTGTGCATGTGTTCACTTGTGTATACATTGTGCATGTACGTTTTGTGAAGGGATATGCCTACTCATGTGAAGGGTGTAGGGTGGAGAAGCCAGAGGACAACCTCAGCTGTCATTTCTCAGGCACTGCCTACCAGAGTCTCTCACTGGCCTAGAACTTGCCAAGGAGGTGGCACAAACCCCTGGCTCCGTTTCCCCGGTACTCAGATTACAAACCTTTGCTATATGCCCATTTTTTCCCCTGATGGTTAACTTTGTTACTTGACAATTTTATACATACCTAGAATGAATTCCGATTGCTCTTCACCCCTTTATCTCCCTCCTATCTCTATCTCCCACCCACCATTCCTACCAATCCCTTTCCCAGATTTATGACCCTGGGTTTTGTTTTGTGACCCATTTAATCAGGGCCATCTGTGTGAGCACTGGGTGAGAACTATCCACTAGATCCTGGGGAGGTCATTGGAAGAGTTTTTTTAATGACATCTTTTCCATGGGTCCTGGGAATGGAACTCGGTCCCTTGTATTTGCAAGGCAAGCACTTTATAAACAGTCATCTCCCCAGCCCTCTGAAGTACTTGCTTTTATGTTAAAAATAGGCACTATTAAACTGATTGTCTGAGGAGTCTTGTCAACCCTATTCCCTACAGCTAATCTCTTAACAACACCGTCACCTTTCTAGACCTTTTCTTTTCGAATCATCTTTTAACTCATTATTTAATTGATACTTTTAGGTTAGCCTACACAGTAATGGATTTTATTGTGTCATTTGTTTATTGTTGTTGTTGTTTTGTTTTTTAACAAGTTGTTAAATAGTGCATAGTACATGGATGGGGCAGGCAGAGAGGACCCACCTGTAAGCCAGAAGCTTACCACCTCCTATGTCATCGTATTTCATCAGCTATTCTCCTGATCCCTGCCCCTGTGCAGGACAGTTTCATTGGCAACTGTATAATACACAGATCATTTCATATCTGACTATATTACTTTTTCTTGTTCATGAATCTGCTCTTCATGAGTCCAAGTATATCATAACAGCCAAGGTGGACACCTCACTTTAAAAATAACATTTCTTCAAGTATGCCTAAAACTGACAGTGTACTTGGCATGCCCACATTCCTATAGAATGTTTAGGCAGCAAGGTGATTTATGGTTAGAACTGGAGCCAGCTGACACCAATGCTCAGCCTTGTTCTCCAAAGGATTTCCTGTGAGGGTGATTGCCAGGGCTCCCATTGGGCCCTGTGCAGCTGTAAAGGAGTGGTGGTGATGGGGAGCAGTATTATTTTACAATTGTGAGGACTGAGAAGAAACTTCAGGGTACCTAGCAAACCAAACAATACTACAGATGTCTGTTCTTTGTATGCATTCACAAGGGTGAGCCTATTTTGAACTTCCACTGAAAACTGGGTACTCCAATCTTGCTCAAGGAAACAATAAACAGGTGCCCTTTTGAAACACAAACCACAGTGGTGCTATAAGAGGAGAGCTGTGCCCTCCAATATGATTCAAAGGGCTTCTGTTCTGACTCCTCTCCATGCCAACTTTTGTGGAGCTATTTTGTTTTCTGCAAGGAAGGCGTGGAGCACACTTGCAATAAATACTACGTCAACATCTCAGTACACAGTGACTCAATGTACCAAGGAGATAAAGTTATGTTATTTAAATTTAGTGGGAATTTTACTTTTCAGATTGAAAACAAGTTCTGAGAGGTAAACTGAACCTTAAAGTGCAATGACATATTTTGATAAAATTACTCCCTACTTCCTTTTTATAAATGGGTGGGACATGTCTTTAATCCAAATACTACAGAGGCAGAGGCAGAATCTCTGAGAGTTAGGGACCAGCCTGTTCATGCCAGCCAAGCTACATAGTGTGACCCTTTCTCAAAACAAAAGACTTCTTTGCTACAGTAATGTCTTTTAGGTACCAATTGGTTTTCATAAAATTAATTAGAATGTGGTTACATAACCCAAAATCTGTATATGTGTTTAGACTTTTACCATGGGATAGAGCTAAACTTGACATTGGAGGTGTGGAAAGGACAAACAACATTGCCTTTTCAAAGTCTTTCTTGCCCTCTTGAGTTTTGAGATGTACCACAGGGTAGCCCAGAACTTGATACAGAGCCAAAGATGACCTTAAGCTCCCTACATTTCTGCTTATTTTTTATTTGGTCTGCCTTGCTTTTTTATTTTTATTTGAGACAAGTCTTGTTTCAGTATCACTATGTAGCATAGAATGGTCTTGAAGTCCTCATTTACCTTACTCCACCTACAAACTGCTGGGATTTCGGCCACATGCCATCTTCTCAGGCCTGTGATAAATATTTTCTTTTGTTTTTAAAGAACTTCAAAATAGTATGCAAGATGGTTGTGCCACATTCCTTCCTAAGACTCATACACAGTAATTATAATTAGAACTGAATGGCTATAGTTCCAAAATCATATCCAAAGTGCCTATGCCATGGCTAATAGGTGCCTGTTGTTACTAGATGTTAACATTTCTGGTGTGAATTTTTTGGATGAAAGAATCATTTCTATGTGTTAACATAGCAGCATAGATTTCAATCTAATTTAAAGTTGTAATGAATTTCATTCAACTCAATAGGGGAGTGATTGAGATAAAATGGGTTTTTGTTATTGTTTTTAAATAACATCAGCCTGCAAGGATGCCTCTGTGATTTTGGCTAATGGAGTCCCTGGAGTTACCTAAAACTCAAAGATTAGAAAAGGACTTCTCAAAGAGCCACATCATGCCTGAGGCCACCTGACTGAGCTAGTATTTGCAAAATAGCAAGCCTAGAGGCTGAAGGTGACCCCTCCCCTTTAAACCTGTTTTAATCCCTTTGTTGGTTTATGAGTTATGTGAAACTTAACTGCTGAGTCATTGTCACAACTCAGGATCAAGAGCCCTTTGAGATTAGCAATATCCAAACAGCAGTGTCATGTGGTTTAGAGCCCCAACAAGAGAGCTCTTATGTGACAGAGGGAGGTAGGTATCTGCCATCTTTGGAGAAAGAGAGGACATTTTTTTTCATGACAGCTTTGGACTTGGTGGAATAATTCCTAGAGAATAAGACATGGTGTTCTTTCCATCTTCCCTGAACAAGGCTCTCACAAGGACTTTGATGAAGAGTGATAAGGCTAGGATCTATTTGCCTGCATCCTTTCATGTGTTTAGTAGCTGTAGCTGTAGCTGTCGCTGGAGGAAAGAGCAGCAGTTCTCAACTTCCCTAAAGCGGCAACCCTTTAATACCCTCCCTGGTGAGCCCCAACCATAAAATTATTTTTGTTCTTACTCCATAACTGAAATTTTGCTACTGTTATACATTATAATATAAATATCTGATATGCAGGGTTTCTGACATCTGACTCCTGTGAAAGGATGATGCAACCCCACCTCCTAAGGGGCCACACCCACAGGTTGAGAACTACTACTGTAGAGTTGTGTGAGAGACTAAGCTGGAAGGGGCCTATGGATCACTGAACCTCAACAGTGGTATTAGATACAGCTAGTAAAATCTTACTGCCATTTTTTTTTACAGAAGTTTTGGGGTGCCACGTATAAAATATAACCACTATCAAAATTAAATTTTGATAATTGTATTATATTGATGATTAACTATCTTTAAAGGTAATAGTCAAAGTCTATACATGCTGTGGGTGTGCTGTGTTTGTGTTTATAAGTGCCTGTGCAAATACAAGTTTATGTGTATGCAGCCATGTGGAGGCCAGCAGTCAACTTCAGATAATACTCTGTAACGGTAACACCCTGTTTCTTGACAGTCTCTCTGGCCTAGGGTTTAGCAGTAATGCAAGACCTTGTTTTTTGGAGGTCTGCAAGGGAGATGATGAAAAAGAGGCTGACATGGGATTCTGAGCTTTGATTTTTGTTCGTGACAGCAGATATTGAAGAGTGAATAAAGGTTGAATAACACGACTGTCCAGCAATATGTTATCCATGTGTTTGCTAATTCACTTTACATCTATTCCATGGGTTATAAATACCTGGAATCACATATACCATCTGTGTACCATTGTCTAACAGGCTCCATCATACCTGTTTGTACACAGAAAGGGCTCCATAAATGTTTTCTGGTATGACCAATAGTCTAGCCACTTCTTAGCATTATATGGCCAACTCCCAGTGAGGGAAACTTTAGCCAAGGGATGGTGCCTGGTGGAGTTTAGCCCACAGACCTTCAAGAATTACATCTGCATTCTAGACTCTCAGTGACCATTGCTTTTCTTTTCCCATAGATGACGGAGGGCCGTCGATGTCAAGTACATCTCCTTGATGATAGGAAGCTGGAGCTCCTAGTACAGGTAAGTCCCTCTGGGACCATTTTCCTAGTTTCTTCTGTGACTAATTAATGTAAGGTAGAGGTAGATTTGGTGAGGGATGGAAGGGGATTATCTACTATTTTTATATCTCTGTCTAGCAAAAGCTGTGTGACAATGGCTGAGACACGCCAAGGTATTTTGTGTGTATGCTATTTTTGTTCATTCTATTTCTATGTACAGCATGCCTCTGGTGTTCAAGGCCAGATGTATATATAACCTATTGTTGAGAACTTCTAGAAAAGGAATTTCCGCAGCTACCATTACCTATTCTTTCTGCTTGGAAGGAGTTAACAGCATTGTAACCTAAATAACTCCTGTGTCGCTAAAACTGATGACATCTCCCTCAGAGGAGAGAGAGTTCCTTCTTTTCAAATTAAGCTTTCATAGTGCCCAGAGAAAGAAAAAACACCTCTGTTCTCTATCTCCTGAGGGTTAACAGCCCTCCTTTTATGACATGGCATGGGTTGCCATCTCCATCAATAGCAAACATTTGGAGAAACTGAGATGAGAAATCAACATAATTCTCCCCAAACTGAGAGCACATATAAAAAGATCAGGAAGTCACAGAAGGCATGTGGCTCTTGAAAAGGTCATTGCTTTACCCAGAGTCTCAAGAATGAGGGAGTGATTCCAACCCTGCCTTAAATACCTTTGAAATCTGGTTCAATTCCAACTTTTCTGACTCTATTGGTTTGATATTCTCTGATGTTGTTCTCAGGATAGTCATCTTTTACTCTCTCTCTCTCTCTCTCTCTGTGTGTGTGTGTGTGTGTGTGTGTGTGTGTGTGTGTGTGTGTGTGTGTGTGTGTGTGTGTGTGTGTGTGTGTGCTGGGATTACAAACATGAGCAGGACCTCTTGCCATGAAGATGTCTCAGTTCATCATAGGGCTGGAATGCAGCCTACATGCTCATTCTCAGGGCATTCAAGAGATTGCAAATTATTCATATGCAGATTTGTCTCTGTGGCCTTGGACTTGCTGCTTAGACTTGAAAAATGATTCAATTACAAACTTTAAGAGTTAATGCTTTCAATATTATTCCAATAACAGAGCCATTATAAAAATGTTATAGAAAATTGGGAAAACTCATAATCTCATTGCACACATGCAGCAGTTATTATTCTTATGCTGGTGGGATTTCTTCCTAGCATTATCCTGTTTATATATGTCCCATAGTTGCAATTATAATATATATATATATATTGCTTTGTACTTTATTCTCCCACGTATCTGTGTCCTCCTAGTGTTTCCTATGTCATGGTAAATTGTTACTTTGTTAAGAGCTGACTAAATTCCAGAAATGGATATATCACTGTTATCTAATCATTCACCCATTTAGTTGCACTTTAAGGTTGCTGTGTTCCTGCCTTACAATTTTTCCACTATTACACATAAGTGCTGTGATTACCTTATCGTCATTTATAGTTTACCCACATTTTAGATTATATCCTTATTAGGCTAGATTCCATGGCCTACGGCCTGTAGGTTGATTTGGGTGAGTGAGACAATTTAGGGAAAATGTATATTGAACAAGAATTTTTCAAGTAGAGGAGCCTTCCACTTGTTGACATTTGGCACTTTAAATTGTTAAGAATCTGTGGAGGAGTTTATAAAGAAGTGGTCTGTGGGGTGTGTTTCACATGCTTTTCTGAAACCCAAGCTTGGGAACTTAGAAGCCACCTTCTGGAACAGGAAATGAGACCACAAAGAGCAACTTAATTACTGCTGGTTAGCAAGCTGCTCTTGGTATGAATGGAGACAGCTGAGATGACTTGTCCAAGAAAAATTTAATTACCAATATATAATTTGAGAACAATTATTTTTGAACCCTGTAATGTCAAAAGGGTACTACATTAGGCAATCAGGGAACTCATGCTCTCCCCACCCTTTGTGGGAAATGCCTTCCCATTTAGTCCCTTTTACTAGAACTCCAGCCTTCCTATATCTTGTTCTGTGAGCATGTTTAATTTCTATTCAGTCTACAAACAATTCACAGCATAGAAGGCCTTCCCCATCCTTATCTCCAGTGGCTTACACTTAGCCACTCCTTCCTTACAACCCAAGTCAGACTTCCTAAGCATTACTTGTGTTATAGCCACTGTGTCCTTAGTACCCAGCCTGATGCCTGGCATGTAGTGTCACTAAATACTTAATGTTGAATGAAAGAATGTATGATCCTAAGGCATCTTCCTATTGCTTCCTTGGAGAACTTCTTGCCATAGTACCAACTGCTTAGGGTATGTTTTAATACACACAGTGTATATATATCTATATATATGTGTGCATATAAAGATTCCAAATTCCACGGCAAAGTGAGCCTCTGTGTAATTGGGAGAAACTGGGCTAAAGCTTTTGGACAAAAGCCAAATTTGATATTTGTATTTTTCTTCCTTCTCACAAAGTTCTGTTGTTCAGTATTGTAGTCCTGTTCTCCACCTCATGTGGACCAACCTCTGGGTTTTAAATGGCACAGACATTTTAGCTGCATACCTTAGTGTGTCCCTTTTATTAACACGTTAGTTAGCTTAGAAAACGCTAATTGTCCTTGTGACAATTTAAATCTGTTCATTGTACTTGGCTTATATTTGTGCCCCACTGCCCTCCCTTCCTCTTCTTCCTCCTCTCACACTGGTCTCCTTTTCCTCACAAGCATTCCACCATGCATGTCTGCATGCTTCTGTGCACACAAGTCATTAAATATATATTACACATGTGAAATAAAATGTACAATTTTTTTCTTGACTGCATTCTACTTTCTCTCTTGTCATATATATTCAAATCTAGATTCTACATATGAGAGAAAATCTGGTATTTGCCTTTTAGGCAAGTAAAGCCTGTTTCATTTAACATGATGAGTTCTACATCTATATGAAAGTAGGTGTAACATCTACTGTCGTGCAAAGGATGTAATTTTGTTCTTTTTTTATGTCTGACTTAAACTCCATTTTACACGGATACCACATTTTCCTTTTCCATTCATCTGCTGATGAGCATCTAATTGGGCTATTGTGAACAGTGCTGAAATAAGCACTGATGTATGGGTATCTCTGTGGTACTTTAGTTTAGACTCCCCTGTCACACTCTTGGGATACTTTGTGTTCATAGAGTAGTAAGTTTAGACACTAAAATATAGAACTATTGAAAGTATTTTCACCATTTTTGTTAAGATAATTTTGGAATATTTGTCATAATCCTTGGACTAAGAAGTATTTCTTAGAACATTTTGACCTGGAGTCTCAGAGCTGGAGAGGGAAGGAAAAGGGCATTTCTAGGCCACATTTACATGACTAGGTTTCTAAGAACAGAATCAAGTTTGGAGGAATCTTTGTCTCTCTCAGAGAAGCAAACAGTTGGCACAAGTTGGTCACTGAGAGACATTAATGAGAAGTAGCTGAAGTTCCACTGGAATCAGCATCTATGTACCATGATTTCAGGAGCTTCTTCTGGCTTCGCCTCAGTCTCTCAGAAGCATGTAAACCTGTAGTATAAATGTCACAGAAGCAAGCTGACCTGACCTCAACTGCTCACTCTCTCTTGCTCGTCATCACCTGGGGGTGCTGGGAACCAGACCGCCACACAAATAATTTCATGCAGTTATGTCAACTTGATCATGGTTAGCATAATGTTTCCAGAAAAAAGATGTGGCCACAGTCCCGTCAGCAGACATTCAACCTGTAAAGCAGCTTGGTATCACTGAGTGAAATCCATTTCCAGATCCCAATTACTCCAGTAAATGGAGCCTGACCCCTATGAGGGAGGTCAGAAAGTCAACAGAGCATCTGGATCACCTGCCAGGAATTTATCCTAAGTTCACGGGTAAGGTTTTGATACCTGTGTAGCTCCTTGTGTCCTTAGATTTCCCTCGGCACAGCTGCAGCGGTGACATGAGTGTTCATCCACACCAGGAGTGTGTACAGGCAGCACCCAGGTCACCCTCCAACGCGTTGTGCCTTGCTCTGTCATCCAAAACTTCCTTCTCAGAGTAAGAGGACCTTCGTCTGTGTTTCTGTGTTTCTGAGTCAGTGTCTTGAGGCTTTGGCAGCTGGAACTGGGACATTGAACAAGTTTGTGTTGCATTCGACTTCTCGTCTTGTCTTCCTATGGTTGCTCCTTTAAAATTTTTTTTTCTGATTGGAATGCCTATTTGCAGGAGCATTTTGAAAGAAAAAAGAAGGGGTTTGTGGGGAGGTGGGGATACTGATGCACACCTCTGATCTCCACATTTAGAAGGCAGACACAAGAGCATCAATGTCAGCCTAAGACCAGCCTAGTTTACTGTGGCCAGCCAGGGTTTCTTAGACAGATCTTAATGAAACAAAACACAGGCAATGTGTTTGTACTGCTGAGAGGAACTTAAGGAAGACTGAGAAGAATTTCCATACATTGTAAGCCTATTGATGAGGCACCGGAGGCGGAGGATATTCCCAGGTAAGCTTCTGTACCTTTCCTCCTGGGTGTCTTAAAAATAGACTTCATGTGGGGCGTTGGTAACATACAGCTTTAATCCCAGCACTTGGGAGGCAGAGGCAGGTGGATCTCTGTGAGTTCGAGGCCAGCCTTGTCTACAGAGAAAGTTCCAGGACAGGCTCCAAAGCAATACAAAGAAACCCTGTCTCAAAAAATCACCAAGAAAAAAAAAAGACTTCATTTTCCGTAGACTTGAATGGTGGAGGTGTAGCTCTAGCATGGTTCCCTGCAGTCTTAGGATACTGGGCCATATCTCACTAGACAGCAAGACAAGCTAGTTCAAGAAAGAGATATTCACCTTCTTTGCCCAGACCGCCTCATTTTTCTGCTTTTCCCATTACTTTTTGTAAGTAGATATTTTGCTCTGCCAACTTTCTCACCTCACATAATAAAGCTTTATACACTGAAGCCCTGTCCGCCTGCATACATGGGCATTGCTGCCTTTGGTTTCTGCTGTGTTTAGGAAGCTGCAATGTGATGTGAGGCAGTAGCATTCTAAGTCTAATTTGCCTAAGG